ACCTGAGCATCTCCTCGGATCTCGCGCCGGCCCAGGACAGCGAGGGTCGCACTGCCGCTCGGTGTCCACGTTTCAAGTGCAATATATGCGGTAGATGTGTGTGCAGTCAAAGCTAATCAAGCATAGTCATAATAGAATCGAAAATCTGTTTCCTACACTGATGACTTTTGTTCACTGTGCAACTTAGTCGCGGAATAGCCGCGGGTGTAGTCCATTACTTCAAGAATCTTGACAAACCCCTAAACACTGTACGGCTATACTACCTCCAATCAAAGTGAAAGCTGCTCGTCTGCTTGGGAACAGGGGGGGAAGCAAGGGTAGATCATCCCTTGGGGTACAGCACTCAGCAACCAGTGCTTACAGGGAAGGCTTAAAGTACTCATTAGATTCATCAAGGCATGGTTGAAGAGGGCGGTTTCCAAGGGCAAGGGTGTGAGGTGGTAAACACAATTTGAACTGTTGTAACTCTAAGGGATGTGAAGTCTGAAGTAAACAATTCTCAACTAGCATATATTTTTTGTAGTAAATATTGCCAAGTGCTGACCAGACCGTGCATCCTGGAGGGGAAGCAATCATTCAGAGGGGGGTTGAATCTAAGCATTCATCTGGCCATTGTGAGTAAAAGCCAAGGGTTTTTTAAATTCACTAAGTTCGAATAAGACGTGACATCAGCTAGGAACTTGTTAAAAACCACGCCCCACCCAGCAATGCTCGCCTAATTTTGTCAACACCCCAGCCGCGGCTAAACCGCGACTTTACTTTCTTCTGCCTGTCTGCTGCGGCATAGCCGCTCACTTGTAATACTCACGTAATTGGCTGAGCCATTAAAAAAGGAATTGTTTACAGAATCCGGAGTTTGTTATAGGCGGCAAATCCGCACGGGTCTTAATCGCGGCCTAATCCGCAAGCATGTTGTGCCAGTAGATATCTTGTCGGCTAGTGCTATGTTTACAGACACCAGGACTCACATCCCTGACCCGGCTTCAAAACACTCTCAAGAGAAACAAGTGTAGTAAGATCTAAGCGAGTTTTGTGATTTGTTGGAGGGCACATTTCTTCTATTTGTTTTCTCCTTCCGGAGTGCAATGCCTGAGACCACAAAGCTTAAGGCCTGTGGGACAGCATCCGAGGTGCTGCAGGTGAAGAAGAGACGATCAGCAGAGCAAGAGGAGCTCTTCTTCGATCACATTCACGCAGGGCTTTCTGCTTTGATGGAACTTAGGCAGTACAAAGTCTATCTTCAAAGCTCGTCCCACCAAGCAGCCGCCTTGCTGGCAGAGTGTGACGGAGGCTCTGCAGAGCAGGATGTGAAGAACGCTATCCTGCGGGCCATGCAGATGGAGTGGAGTTTGGTGGTCGAGGCTGAGAACAGCCTGAAGCTTCATCACCTCATGCGATCATCCTGCCCCCACACACGGTTCGTGTACTACAGAGAGGTGATGAGTGTCTTTGAGAAAGAGGGCTGGGTCCTCAACTCCGCCACGCAGTCCCTCCTGAGGGCTTGGTTCCCACGCCTCGGCAGTTCCTGCAACGTTGAGCAATGCTTCAACCACATGGAGGACAGCATCAAGCGAGCCACGAAAGCCAACTCTTCCAGTGTGCCCAATGTTCAGTGCCTCGGCATTCGTGCCGTGGCCAACAAAGTCTGCCAAGGCGAGAAGACCGCAGAAGCTATCAGTCTCTTTCCGGAAGATTTCGAGGGAAACGAAATCAGGGCCATAAAGCCGAATGTTTGGAGAGCTGATTCTTACATCAACAGCACCTCGGCTGATCCATCTCGTACAGAGCACAATGCATTTTCAGAGAGACAGTCTGGACAGGGAATGTTCATATTGAGCAAAGAGACACCCCTTCAACAAATCAAACCAAGTAGCAGATGTGATGCCACCAACGCAGCAGATAGAAAACGCAGAGGGGCAGAGAGAGGAACAAGCAAAATACGGCATTGGACACTACACTACACTGAGGAAAAAGACAACCGCAGAGGCTTGAGCAAAACCCGAGCAGAAATACGCAAGCAAAACAACCAAGGAAACCCCAGGAGAACGAGAAAATAACGCTTCTTCAGCAAGGACGCTGAAGCAAGATGTGAGAGAGCAAGAGACACATTAAGCAATGTCAGGCTGTTTATGTCTAGACCAGGTACGAGGCAGGCAGAACACTAATAATAAAGCACAAATTTCCTGTACGTGCAAAGAAGACCCTAAACAATATGTCAATGCGACGGTCGCCGTTGATGCGTTTTTTCGGTAGACGTATTCTGGTTCGCAGCCTAAGCATACGCACGCCAACCGCTGTACGACTACAACTTCAAGCAGCGATTTCCAAAGGTCCGCATTTCCGACTTGACGACATCCTCAAGAAGTTTGGCAGCACCTCCGCTCATGCCCACACAAGAATGAACCTCAATCTCATGCAAGCTTTTCTGCTGGGCAAGAAGATGCTCGGCATGCACTCGGCTGCTTCTAATAGAAAAACATTCGAGTTGAGCACACTGGTCCTAGCATATCATAGAGCCTGGCACATCCGAAGGAACGGTGTGTGCATGGAGGAGATGGCATCCAAGACGTGGGTGCCCAACCTGGTTGCCCCAGGACGCCTCTTGCTGGTTGATGGCCAGTGGCTCTTGGCGGTCGGCAGCACGCCCGGCCTGCTCTACGCAACTTTACTTCAAGAAAGCAAACCTAAAATGTGAATTGTTTTTATTCCTTCTCAGCATAACATTCGTGCCAGACGTGAGGCTTTGCAGATGGCAGAGATTCACATGTTTTTTGCGGGCCCATTGCCGCCCGAAGCGGTGGATGAAACCGCCGTGGCTGGCGAAGGGCACAGCTTCAAGATCGATGATCCGCTGAATGCTGGTGATCATGTGAAAGCACTCGTCTTCGCTGCCAAGAAGCATCCTAGCAGCAAGTGGTAGTCAGTCAGGCTTGCAGACAATGACAAGTCTTGCCTCCAGTAACCGATCTGCACCTAACCAGCAAGGCCGCTCATCCGTGAGATTCTGCTTGACTTCGAGAAGGATTGCTGGGTGCTAATTTAGTGAGATTTCTTTTGTCCGCCTCTGGAAGATTCCCATCTGCACGATCGGAAGAGATTGCAGGTTCAAGTCTTCCAGTACACCACGCATTGGTTGGAAGGCTCTCTTGCCACGAAGATTGGGAGCTGCTGCATCCTTCGGCGGGGTGTGGCAGGTCGAAGCCTTTCGTTGGACTTGATCCTAACCGGCGAGATCCTCAAAGTCACCAACGACTCCTTGTCCAAGATGCTGAAGATCGAGGACATCTCCTGCCGCAAGAATGCCACGAAGAGTGCCAAGATCAAGGCACTGATGGACAAGCCGTCGTTGAAGGAGGCTATCCCCGAGGAGAGAATCACAGAGATCTTGGCCACACTGCAGATGATGGATGAGAAGAGGCGAAAGAGAAAAACGGATGACAACGCTGACGAGGAAGACAAAGAGCAGGCAGAGGGAGAAGAGGACCGACATTGCTGTCAAGGTGTTGTAATGTAGAAACGGTGCTTCATGTGGCAATGCCCAAACAGGAGATGCTGCCAGATGATGGCGACGAAGTGATGAAGGCTGCAGCTGCCGCCGTCCGAGAAATGGAGCAGAATGCTTCTCCTGACGACCAGGCCTTTCTTTTGCAACCCCCATGCACCCTGGAGCATTCCTTGAAACAGTTCTGCACAGTTCTCAAACGCCTGGAACCTCCCACTTCCAGTTCACATTGGGTTTCAGCCACTAAGGAACCGAAAGGGTTGATGTGTTGTTCCGGCAGTTGGATTTGATTGCTGCACCTTGCCATCATAACCAGCTGGAGAATCACAAAAAACCGTGGTACTCCCTCCTCCGATTTTGATTCCTGTCACATGCAGGACAATGCCCAAGTTGAGCAGCCACCAGCTCCGCCAGCGGAGAATGCCGAGCAGGAGAGGGAAAGCAGAAGGAGCATCTCGAATGCTGTGGCGATCCCGCAGTTCTTGAAGGACAAGTTTGCCATGCCTTCCGAGATCGTGGTGACGCATGTGCAGCATCGCACAAAGACGCTTCCGCACTTTCAAGCTCGCCTGCCGGCGGGCTTGACTCATGACAACAAGCAACCTCGATGCAGAGTCGGTGCATGATTGTTGAATAAGGGAGCCCCAATTAGACCAGGTTTTTGTCCTCACCTGATGTTTAATTCTCTCTCAGCTTTCCATTCCGTTTTGAGCATAAACTTGCTCAGCTGAGGGCCTCTACATCTGCATCTTACAATCCCGTTTTGCCGGTCGATCAGCTGAATGAATCTTTGACATCGATTGCAATGCAAGTGGCCCGCCAGAGGAGTCAGCTGCAGGCATGGTTCATGGTGCACCGGTGGGTGATGGAAGCAATGAAGCCATCGAACAAGAGGAAGCGCGAGTGAAAGAAATCCTTCCTGCTGTCCGACATGAGATTGAGGGTTTACTTGCATTGGGAGATTATCCTGCTAGTCCCCTCTGTCTTTGACTGGTAGTGGAACCCTGAGCATTGCTTTTCAACCTGCAGATCTGCTGAGTTAACAGTCACTCAATCAGGATGACTATGCAACACTCCTCCCAATAGCAGAGCTGATTAACACATTCCAAGCAGCACCCAGAATCGAAGCAGTAGGCAGCTTGAAGCAGCATGCGTATGGAGGGCTATGATTTAAGTATTTGAGGGAGCCTGTGGGACCACCTATAACACTACACAACACCAAGTCATGAGCCACAACAACTGGGTCAGGAACTATGTTTAATGTTCAGCGTCGCCGTAATCATACACCCGATTAACGCCAAAGATCGGTTTCAGACAGTTTTACGGTGAAACATCTATAATGCAGCCATTCGCACCTAATCTAGACAAAGCAGAAACAGAGAAGAACCAATAGCCGCAAGACTCCCTGAACAAAGGCCTTTGCAATACCACCCTACGTAATCCTAAACCTGAAACCCAAACCCACAAAACAGGGTGCCAAGAGAAGGGATCAGGTTGCGTCCGGTGGAAGGAGGAACGTCTTCCTCACCATCTCTCCAAAGAGATGGAGCCCATGCTGCCTGGCAGGTCTTGGCATTAGCAAAACTCCCTAGGGCGCAAACTTTGCCTACGTCGGTGTCTAAAGTGTACAGTCCAAAACCGATTCCTGTTTGACTCTTGGTGCTTTGGAAGAAAACGAACGTAGTCGAAGTCTTAAGGCCAAAACATACCCAATCGGGCTTAAAGTGAGTCCTAGAACCCTAAAACACTACCTGCCTCATCCCCCCGGCCCGAAAAAACTTGCCAGCAGTAGCACTCAAAAAAAAACTAAAACCTGAGTCCCACATACTTCCCTAAACATAAAGAATACGATGAAAAGCGCCTTATATATCATAACAACCCCTTAAGCCCCAAACCTTACACTCCTATGGATCCCTGATAGATACCCTTTAAAGGAAGCTTAAACAGCTACTTCAACACACTAGACACCTTAAACCCTAAACTCTAAACCTTAAACCCTAAACCTTCAACCCTAAACCCTGAACCTTAAACCCTAAGCTCTAAACCTCAAAACCCTAAACTCTAAACTTAAAACCCTCAACCCTAAACCTTAAACCCTAAACTCTACACCTTAAACCCGGAACTCTAAACCCTAAACCCTAAACCCTCAACGACACAAGGCCTCCGGGCACAGCTCTGGGGGCTCTGGAAGCGGCGTCAGGTCCCGTGGCTCGGGAAAAGGCTCCGGCACGGAGCCCATCTGGCAGCTTTGTGGGGTGTAGGAGGCTGTTATGGGTATATGAGCATTAAAGGGTTTAGGGTGGTTTGGTATTTCATTTTTAAAGTGAATTTTCCATCTGCATGAAGCGGGTTGAGAGGTTTTGGTGTTTTATGGGCATCTCAGGATTTAGGGTTTCGGGTTTAGGGTTCAGTCAAAGGCTGATTCGGCTTGGGAGTGGAACCTTGTAGGTTTTCGGTTTAGGGGCCTCTTCGGCTTGGATAGGGTTTAGGCTGGAGGATTCAAGCGGCTTCGGTTGGCGAAGACATTCTGCAAGAGGGTCTTGAAGTGTTTGTTTACAGAGAATGTTATGGAAGACTTGCGGTTTTTGGCTGGTTTAGGACGTATGATTTCACCTCTTGCTGTCTTTGATACGTATCGCCATGGTCATTACTTTCTATGTAAGTCAGCGGTGATGTGAGCGGTACATACTGTTCTTCTGATGTAACGCAGGATAAAGAATCCAGCGAACCAGAGGTATCTTCCTGAGAGAACCAGAGGGCCTTGTGGTTTAGTGCAGATACAGGAGCTGAAAGGGCTTGGGATGTGAAGATCCCGGGTACTTCACCATAACTGTACTTGCGAAAAATCACCAACTCATACGAACTTAGCGACTGCGGTTAGGGCCAGGGAACCTATGATCAGGGCTAGATGTACAGCGTCAACAAGCTTGCAAGCGCCCTGACCCTCCACACGGTACACACAGCAGAAAGTTCGACCTTCAGAGCAGTTTCCTGCCGGGCCTTGTTGTGTCCATGGCGGCGAGGATGGTCGTCACACTCCTAAGATGCACTGGTACACTTTCTGTAAAGTCTGAAGCGTGAAACCTCTAAAGCCCGTCAAACCCCTGGACAGCCCTACAGCCTGTGGCCCCGATGCCCCTGAACCCCATAAACAAACTCACTGACAGACGTTTCTGCATCGATCATTCCAAGACACGTGCTCCAATCTCGCCTCGTCCACAAGGTCCCCGACATCCTCGGGATGTGGAGATCTCTTGTTTTGGGTATAGGGCTTCAGGGCTTCAGGATTCTAGGGCTCAGGGTCCTGGGGTTTAGGGTATTGATAGAAAGATTTTGAAGCATCTAGTTATTCTATCCGGCTTTGCACGAAATTCCGGTATGTCCTTCTCATACCTGTGCTACCGATAAAACACCGAAACTCGACGGAACTAAGGCCACTACATGAATATGAACAAGAAAGGGCGCCAAAAGAACCCGTTGAATAGGCCCCTATGCAAATTTTGCGGCCTGCACCTGAAGTCTCCACGGTGGATTCTTTGCAATCATAAACCGGCTCACCCAAAAAAGTAACTACAATGGAGGTCTTATGCATCGATCAGGGGAGGCCCTGGTTCAAGGCTTCAGTGCATGTTAGGGGCTTAGGGCAAAGATTTCAATGGTCCGCACTGAACTACAAGCTCCCCTAGACCTACAAACAAAACCTAGCGTCCAAGGTTCAGTTTTGGGGGTTTAGGTTTCCGGGACTTCAATATACCCTTGGGTTTAAATCATAACCCTGATTGACACAGCACTCAGCAGCGCACCTCATCGTCGGTGAGACGGTCCGTGGTGTCGGGAATTAAAGGAGGTGGCGGCGCCGAAAGATCCATGTGGCTGGCAGAATTTCGCGCAGACTCCTCAACGAAGGTTGCGATGTCACTCATATCTCGCTAAAACTATCTGGCTACATACCTATCTAAATTACCTGACTACCTACCTACATATCTACCTTATCTATCCATCGATCTGTCTATCTATATACTATGCTATTGGCGCCGCTGTGCAGACTAGTTAGCCCAGCAGCGTCTTTCGCATCTACTCGGTGCCGCGGATCAATCATTTGCATATGGTTTCAGATCTGATGTCCAAACACTCACACTCCTGAAAACCAAAGTGAAGTAGCATAATACTACAAATACTTATCTATAACAAAAAATAGTGTTGAGACTGTGTGAAGATAGTCATACCAATTACGATACCCATACCTATACTCGTGGCGAATATAGTACGAATCATTGCAATTCTGATACGCCATAGTAATCGTGGGCAATAGAAGTAATGAGCCAAGAGGCGTAGTTTTGAAAAAAACAAACCCCGGGTGCAAATGAGGGTCTCCACACAAACTCAAACCCGATTAGTCCAGTTCCATGAGTCTTACCTTTGGTTCGTAGGGAATGGAGGAATGGTAGTAATAGTAATAGTAGTTATAATTGTACCCCATTCCTCCATTCCCTACTAACCAAAGGTAAGGATTAGGATTTAGGGGAAGAGTCCAGACTGGCGTACAGCTCAAAGCCATTGGCATCTTGACCAGGTTGCTTCACAAAGATTCGGGCCCGCCTCATTGGTTAAAATCGGAATCCGGTCCAGCGTATGTGATTTGGCTATACAAGTACACTACAAAAAAGTGTTCAGAGCTCTTCCTAACCTTCGGTCTCCTCCAGCACCCTGAACCCCCTACCCTCTACCCTAAAAAAAAAGCTAATCCCAAAGTTCTACAGCACCATAAACCCTAAATGCTGATCCGCAAAGTCCTCCAGCAGCGGCACCGACTGCTCCAGCCTCTCCGTCTCCGTCTCGGGAGGCGCCTCCCTCTTGCGGAACCGGGCACCGAGCTGCGCGTAGAAGGCTTGCATCGGCACCTCTCAGGGCTGATATGGGGGTTCTTGCTGTTGATGTGGTTACGATACAGAGAAAGATCTGGGGCTTGTAGTACGTGCTTAGGGTTTAGGGTTCTGGATTCTTGGGTTTAGGGCAGGGTATTGTTGGGCAACGGCACCGAAGGCCTACTATAGGGGCCTTCATGACTGGAATGGGCTGTAGAGACAAGCGGACACATTATATTCTCGTCACAAGTTCGTGATAAGAAACCAAGGACGAGCAGTGCTAGTATGAAAGTGACAGTGGTCTGCAAGCTCAATTTTGACGTATCGCCAGGTGCTCCCTGGGCAGAAGTTCACAACGCCGAAGCAAGTTCCGAATCCTGAGAATTTTCCTGCGGATGCAAGAAGAGTCTATACGGGAGTTCTGCCCCATATGTGATTTTTGCGACTATGGGATTATGCCGTCGCATCCTCGTAGGGTTGGGGACTACAGTAAGGTTTGGGTTTAGGCGGTTCAGGGCCGGGGTTTGAGGGCTCATGATTTCGGATTTTTTGGATTTGGGGTTCAGGGTTTAGGGCTTTGCATCGGGTTGGGGAGAAGCTTTCGGGCTTTCGGCTAAGTATGGCGGTAAGAAAGGGCTGTGAAAAATCGGTCTAGCCTGGCAAAGAGCTTGAGATCCCGACGCACCAAACCCCTGCAACAGAAGTAAACCAAAACGCCAAGCGTTTGTTCCGGGAACATATCGGATTTCGTTGGTCTTGTGACCTTCCAAAAACTCTTGACAGGAGTTGGGACATACTGTGCTCGCTGTTGGATCAACCAAGGATGACCTTGTTAATCATAGAGACTGTGAGGGTAATCGCCCAGAATCCCAAGCCCGGAGCCCAAGCTCTCCTTCACACAATCAGCCCTATGAACCCAAACCGCGCACACTAAACATCTTCAAGCCGAAAAAACCCAGGACCATGAGCCATGAAACCAAGACCTTAAACGAACTTGGGAAAAACAACACTTTGTTGAACTCTGCAACTTCCTAGAATCCCTAAACCCTAAACTGTAGACTTAAACCCTAAACCCCAAAACCCTAAACCGTTCTCATCCACCTTCGGCTTCTCGATCTCCTGGGCTGCACATCTTTCTGCAGCCGGAGAGTGCCCGTCCTCTCCTCGATCCTGCAACGGTGCTTTCAGCATCTAGGGTATTTAGGATACTTAAGCTGAGTGAGTATGTAGGGCATGTCGGGTATAAAAGGTTGTTGGCGTACTCAGGATAGGTTGCGGGCCTTTCAGGTTTAAGGCCAGTGTCAGAATTTCTTCTGCGTAGACGCCTAATCAGAAATCACGACACGAAACAAAGGGTCTTATGTTATGGATGCTTCTACAAAGGCCCTGCAATCCAGAGGTTTATGAATCAGGGGTCTCATGACTCCATACAAAGCGTAACACCTTTGCAGCAGCATCAATCGCCATAACCCACAGCCCTAAACCCTAAACTCTAAACCCTACCGCTTTGTAGGTTCTGGCCCGTTCGGCGCCTCGAACGCCTCTTGTTCTGAAGACTGTGCCATTTGCTTGAAGCCCAAGTCTGCAGCGACGTGCTCGCTATGCAAATGCTCCTGGGATCGGGTTTAGGGTTTAGGGTTTAGGGTTACAGAAGGGCGCGAAACTATGCCAGGAGTACGAGGGGACGCTGTTATATACTACCTATTCCAAGTAGCCGCTCATGTGCAAACCGAGGACAACGACAGGATACTGGGTGAAAACGTCGGTAGTTACAGCGAGCAACATATCATGATTACAGAACCCCAAATAGAAGTCATCGAAACAAGTGCGGTCTTCCGGAATTCTAAACCCTGAACTCTAGATTCCTTTCCGGGATCCAACTTTTCATCCTCGGGAAGGTCTTCCTCCTTCTCTGCCTCTTCGCACAGAGGCTCCGGCATCACCTGCTCTCAATGCCAGGATGCAACTACATGGTAGTTCTCTAAGTTAGGATCACTTATAGGGTCCTGACTATAAGGATGCCGTGCTAATTTGGGGAAATAAAACTTACGTACAAGGCGGACTGAGCTCAACTACCGAACTCTCGAAGCTTGAACGCTATAACCCGAAACCGACTCCCATGCACCTCGAATGCCACTTGTTCTGCAGGCTGTTCCAGGTGGTTGAATCCCGCGTCGGCAGCCAAGTTCTCGAATTGAAAACACTCCTGGGCTAATCTAGGATACATTCTCACCATACTAAAGTTTGGGTATACCGCAGCCCGAACTGGGTTCTAGGCATAATGTGTAAGTCTAGTACACGTTTGTATAGTCATGGTTGGACGTCCGAGAGGGGTACCCCTGCTTAATCAACTTTCTCTATTTATGGGCCGAGTTTTCGAATCTGCTTAAAGTCCTTTTTGAGGTGCCGGGGTTTAACGGCAGAAGCAAAACAGCCTTTCAAATCCAGGTGCAGCTTCCGTTCCAGGGTCCAAACCCACCTTCACCTCCGCAAAAGGGTCTACCTCCACCTCCGCTTCTTCCAGTGGTGATTCAGGTATCGCCTGCCGCGCACCATCAGCGTGTAGTCATAGCTTGAGGGGTGCTGGTGCGTGTCTTTCAAGCTTTTAGTTACAAGTTAAACGGTGCGAGAACGAAGGGTCGGATCGTCTTCAGTTTTCGCAGCACACGAGTTAACAGAGTCCAATATCCCTCAAGCTTGAAATTAGAGTGGAAACTTGAAGCTTTGAATGGGCAGACCCACGAATCTTAGGTATGTAAACAAACTCTCTAACTCTAACTCACTCTCTCTCTCTCTCTCTCTCTCCCCCCCTCTCTCGCTGTGTCTGTCTCTCTCTCTCTCTCTCTCTCTCTCTCTCTCTCTCTCTCTCTCTCTCTCTCTCTCTCTTAATTTGAGCTCTCAAAAATCAATGCTGAACCCTAAACCTTAGTCCAACCGGGTGGAGGGCTTCCTTCCCATCGGACACCTTGAACTTGTCATGCACTGCCGGCTGTTCCAAGCAGTCGAAGCCCACGTCCGCAGCCTCGTCCTGAGGCCAAAAGTCAGGCATTGCTATTCGGGCTTCGGGTTTAGGGTTTTGTGGTTTGAAGGACCTGGATTTTGGCGAAAGGCTCATCTTGTGAGACCTTGTCAGAGCTGCGTGATTTCATAGTTCACTTCCATGCTCTGAGGCTTCTCGGGTGAATTTGAGCCCAATGGCCCAAACGGGCCTAAGTGTCCACATTGGGGATACGTACACGAACCACAACGAGGACTCATGGTAAGAAAAGCCAGCTTCGTACTATGTGGGTACACAGCATCATCTTCTGGAAAGCCAGTCTACAAAACAAAGACCTAATCCAAGTCAATTCGGTCAGCAGAAGAAGATAGCTCTTCAAGTTCAGGTGCAGGTTTTACTAATTGAAAATAGATTTTGAGGCTTAGGGTTTTGGGGTTCCTCATTATGCTTATAGTATTTTTAACCCCAAAACCTATTGCTTCCGGGGTCCAGATCGATGTCCACCTCCGCGGGAAGGTCGACCTCCACCTCCTCCTCTTCATGCAGAGGTTCGGGAATCGCCTGATTCACAGTGCGCGGCTGCGGCGATACTCCCTACTGATACAGCTCCCACACCGGGATTCAGCGTGCACTCTCTTTCCGGATGTGGGAGCAGCTCTTCATTATCAGCCCGATCAGTGGCCTTTCGGCCGGGAGGGCCACTATGGGGGCCTAAAGGAATTACCTATACTATTTTGGGGGTCCCTTATTGTAGTTATAGTATAATGGGCCCCAAAACCCTATTCTAATTATTAAGGCCCCTATATTAACCTCTTTCAAAAGATCTGCAGCATGTGGCATCAAGGCCTACGGGTGCTTGCGTTCCCTTGAGCCATAGACCCCCAAAACTACGAAATAGTAGGCTATGCGATTCCACAGTTAAGGGAAGCCCGTAAATAGTAGGTTTGTGGCACAAACCCTAAACCCTAAACCGCCCGTGAAAAGTAAGTTTGTGGACTGGCAGGATCTTTCGTGATTTTTCGCCCCATCCGGCACCTCGAAGTTTGGTCGCTGTACGGCCTGGTCCAGCTGACTGAATCCCACCGCTGCAGCCGCATCCTCGTGGGACGGCCAAGCTTCATGTGACGACATCTTACAGGTGCCAGTGCGAATGAGTTGACAGTGCACAGGACTTGACACTCTCCGAAGGTGCGGAAATGATGGTAATGATGATCATCACGATGTGCTCACCCTGGGGCTCCAAATAGCCCAATGTAGGTACTATTTATAGACTTTCGACCCCAAAGTAGGTACTATTTACATACTTGGAGCTTTAGGGTCAGTCAGTGGCAGATATCATACTAATTCCCGCGAAGCGTCTTTTGCGAAGTCCACGACCTCTGCAAGGTCGCCGTCCGCCTCCGCTCTTTGCAGAGGGGCTCAAGTAATTTAGGTTGGCCCTTCAATTCCTCTGAAAAATATTCGTAAATAGGATCCTATTAAGCCCAATAAGGGAAAATATAGAATGTCCCAAAGGACTACCTAGTAATATAGGGGCCGTATAATAACAATTAGAATAGGGTTTTGGGGCCCATTAAACTGTAAATATGATAAGGAACCCCCTCCCACAAAAAAAACTAGTATAGGCAATTATCCAGGCCCCTATAGTAGAACCTTCTTTGGAGCGATCCAAAACCCGCTAAAGCCCAAAATCTTATGCAAAAGGGGGGGAGGCAACGGTTAGAGTAGCTTATGTCGTGGGGGGGTATATGTTAGCGTAAGTTATAGGGACAATCATCATAAGGGTTCGGATCTCTAATTATTCACGTCTATATTCTCCAGCTGAGCCCCAGTGCTCGCGAGTGGTTTATCATGTGCCTGGTTCAGCCTGGTTAGGCTAATTACCTTGTGCCCCCAAGCTCTAGTGACGTAGAAATGATAGTGATACCTACTGCCCGGTCTAAACTACCTCAAAAACCCTATATTTTGTCAAGTTGCAGTCTCTCCTAAACCCTAAACTCTAAACCGTAACACCCTCAGCCTTCAAGCTCTCGAGCCCCAATCCCAAACCCCACCATGCTGCCCCACAAAACACGAAGCTTTATAACACCATGAAACCCTAATCCAAAGCTCTGACACCTAGAATCCTAAACCTGAGGCCCTAAACAACACAACCCCGACCCCCGACCTGACGCCCTAAAGCCCCGAACCCTAAACTCCATGAGATTTTTGACAGCCGTGAAACCTCAAAGCTGGATGTAGGGGCCTGAATAAGTAGAATAAGGTTTTTGTGTATAGTATACCATAATTAGAATCAGGAACCCTCAAAATCTTGTTGGTAATTATTTCGGCCCCTACATTAAAAATTTCGTGCGCGCCTGGAAGTACGATTCAAGGTTTCAAGAACCCATGAAACTGAGCTTTTGTGATTCGGAGAGCTTAGACAAGTTTCAGGAACCTTGAACCCCCTGAAGCCCAGACAAAAACAAAACCCTAGATCTAACTCCAACCCATGAACTCCGAAACCCTGAACCCCTATAAGTCCTAAATCTCCAAACCCTCCGAAGCCTTCTCACATACCCCCAAGGCCCTCCAACCCTAGTAGAAGCCCCACAGTGATCCTTACAGCCCTCCGGCATCCCAACTGGTAACCTCATAGAAACTCTTCAAAGAACCTTTATTCTGGTCATTCAAGCCCTGTACAAAAGTACTTACACTATACCGTACAAACCCTTTTCAAGTGAGTCTGTTGCAGGAACCCATTTAAAGGAATCCTGTAAAGGAGCCCTTTTATAACGGCACCCTGTTAAAGGAGCCCTTGCATTAAACAGGCGGCCCTGTTCAAGATACCCATTTAAAAGAAACCCCCTTTATCGGTGTTGTAAGTTGCTTTAAGCACCAAACCTACACCCTAGAAGCCTAAAGCCCTAAACCCTAAAGCCCTAAACGCAAAAACCCTAAACCCTTAGACCCTTGAACCTCAAAAAACAAACCTTAAACCCTTTTAGCCTGAAGCCCTATACCCTGAAAAAGAGCCTCGGCCCCCCTTCCAGCGGCGTCGCTGCCGCTGCCGTCATCCTGGGGCTCCTCGCTTTAAAGCGCTTTAAAGGAGGGGTGAGGTTTGGTTTCGGGTTTAGGGCTTAGTGTTTAGGTTTTCTTTTTTTGGAGCTCCTTTTCTCCAGTGCCCCGAAAGGTCTGAGAGGCCAGGGTTTAGGGGTTTAGGTTTAGGTTAGGGTTTGCTAGGGGCTTAAGATTTAGGGTTTGGGGATGAGGGTTTACGTTCTAGAGACTTTACTATTGGGGCTATTACAGGGCTGTGTCTGTATAAACAGAATGCTATGTGGGGTTACGAGGGGACATGACACTGGTTCCTTTACATAAATGTAAACACTTGTGCAAGGGTTTCGGATTTAGATTTCGGGTTGAGGGTGTGAGATGTCGAGGTATAGGGCTAAAGAAGGCTGGTGAGCTTTCGTTTGCAAATTTCGAAAGTTGGGGTCGCATAATGCAACTGTTCTGCCTTTGGGGGCACCCGCCCTGTTTACTTACATGAATCATCCTATAACATAACCTAGCGTGCTGAGGGTGTTTTGGGCGGCCTCAGATAGGCGGCTGTAAGGATTCGGATTTAGGGCATGCGAGGGTGCTTGGAGTTTAGGGTTTATAGGGGTTAGAATCGTAAGGCCAGAGCTTCATGACATTTGGATGTGTGTCTTTCTGCGCTGCAAGACACACGTCACTTACCGGTCTAGAGAGATCCTGCATTGGCTTTCCGGGTTTAGGGTTTGATGTATAGGGACCTTAAGATTACAGTACAATCTACCCCCAAACCCTATTCTACTTATTGAAGCCCCTAGAGTATAGAATTGCCCATAACCCTAAACCCTTCATTCTGCATCGACTTTCCGGGTTCAGGGTCTAGGCTCTGCATGTGGGGTCCTCCTGAATCGGCCGCTGCCGGAAATGCTCATCAAGCAGGGCACAGGCACCCGCTGCCCAGGACTTCCAGGCCTTCTCGGTTGCGATTCAAAAAAGTTGCTTGGGTTTCATGGCTGTGGTGAAATTTTGATTTTGGGGATATCGTCTTCGGGTTTTCGCAAACTTTGGCTTTAGGGTTCAGGCTTCTTTGGCTGTGTTGGGTTTCGGGATTTTTCGTTTCGGGACTCGCCACCCTAAACCCCCAAACCTAAACTCAACCCTGCCGACGTTCTCAATTCGACCACCCGTGCCGCCCGTTTTGGGGCTTGAATTTGATGTCACAATTCTACATGTAGGGCTTTTTCGCCAAGTCAAGCACTTGCAGCCCTCACCGCCGCCGTAAACCCCCAAAACCCAAAAACAAACAAAACAACGCCGCAACTTCCGAGCTTGGCCTCGCTGGGTCCTTCCACCCGCGGCTGCGGCCTGGAGCGCAGAGCGAAGACCAGCACCTCTCTTTTGCACTTTATCCAAAGGGATTGGGGTTTGGCCACCTCAAAAGATCGAACGCAAGCAGGTGCTGTGTCAGGATAACAACTATAGTCTCGGTGTGATTATGACTATGACTAGTGACTAGTGTTGGTAGTGTCACCATACTACTCCTTCTGCCATGTCGACATGAAGGCCGACTGACTGTGATTTTGCAAGGGGTATGATCTATGATATTGAACGTGATCGTGGTTAAGACCATCATTCCGATTGCTCGGGCGGAAAACGTAAACAACAAACCCCAACGACCAGGATACCTGCGATCTTTAAACTTTAGCTCTCCATGTACTTCCCCCATGGGCGTAGTCGTCGTCGTCGTAGCAGTAACAGTATAGCAGTAGCAGGAGCAGCAGTAGTAGTAGTAGTAGTAGTAGTAGTAGTAGTCGTCGTAGTAGTCGTAGGGCAGGATATCGCGAACCCTGTAACTAAGAACATTGAACGTAAATCATATCAAGAACCCCTGCGTGGTTTGACATGTGCGCCCTAACGCATGATCTAAGTACTCCCAAAGTCTGAAAACAGAAGCAGCAGCCTCGATAGCAGTGTCCAGGCCTGGGTAAAGTTCATCCAGGATCACCGTGGGAGGCTTGAGGCTGTTAGCTCAAGCTAAACGGGATACGAATACTAAAGTCCCTAGAAAGAATCGGCTTGCTAATCAGCTGTTCGGATCTTAGTGCAGCGCAGAATTGAGGTGTTGCTTTTGAGGTTCCCACAGAAGTGTGAAGGGTGCACTGCTCCCAATTATCATGTAGACTCCCGATGAAAAAAGTCCCTTGCTTTTGCAGGCCTAGAAGGAGTGTCCTTTGTAATCGAAGGTCTACACTACGTGACTAGGTACTCAGTCCGGAGCAAGATCACGGTGTTCATGTAGAGGCAAGCTTGCTGTACATGGGCAATAAGATGGATGCTATCGTGCTGCTGCTGCTGCTGCTGCTGCTGCTGCTGCATATCTTACATGCATGGGAAAATACTGATTACGGGCAATTGAATATACCCGAACAGAAACGGAGATCCGCAGACAGCAAGAACAATACAGAGCTTTAGACAGACAGATAAAGAGATGGATAGACAGATGGACAGCTAGGCAGAGACATGGATCGATCGATAGATAGACAGATAGATCGAAATCGACGGGTCACATAGATAGATGGGGAGATAGGTAGATGATGGATAGACAGGCCGGGAGCAAGAGATGGAGCGGCTGTTGAGGTAGTGAACATGCAAGGTATCACAGGTGATGGATTGGTCTATGCAGGAGCTTGTGCAGATTCGTCTGCTTGAAACCGGGTGTGCTTTGGCCAATCTCGGCCTCGGCCGCTTCCCGTTGAGCTTCTGCCAGCGACTTCCCAGACGTGTTCCATCCCTTCGTTCGCGGCCGTCTTCTCTGACACATATTGCAGATCGCTCGCTTGCTTGCTACCCGCGCCCGCGCAACCCTGCGGCTGCATGCCGGTGGTGTCCAAGCGGTGGTTTCCACTGTGAGCTCGGCACTTCCTTAGCCTGGATGTCCCCGGTTTTCATGATCGCAGGTCGCTCTCTTTCCATCTCTCTCTCTCTCTCTCTTTCCCTGTCGCTCTCTCTCTCTCTCTCTCTCTGTCTCTCTGTCTCTCTCTCTCTCTCTCTCTCTCTCTCTCTCTCCCCATTATAAAATCTCTTTCTTGTATACACAGTGCCGCCTCGAAATGGGTAGTTCTGCGTCTCAGGGTCCCATTTTGGATACCCAGTGGTCCAAAGATTAAGTCAGTCACTCTGATACTCATACGTACCCCGGAAGTTGAGAGGGAGCTTAAGTTACGGAGACTCGCAAGAACCCCGAGCCCTGAACGCTACAAGCCAAAACCTCCAACCCCGCACACTTAATAAGAGCCCTTGAAACAGCCGCTCAAAACTTCATAGGACCCAAATGTCTTGCCATTGCTTCTGGGCTGCTTTCCGCCTCGACGCCGTCTGCGTGACTGCGCCAGGCCTGCCGAAGCTTCTTTAAGCGAGTCGAAGCAAAATAAGCAGAGGATGTTGCGTTGTATGAGGTGTTGATAGGGTCCAAAAAACTTTCAGTAGTGTTCATAGGGCTTATGTAAGGCGTTCAATAGAGAATATGACTTTGAGGTACTTGGACCTTTGGGCCGTCGGCTGTGACAAAAGAGTTCGGAAAATCAGAAAGTCTGAGACCCTAACCTAGACCCTACATAGTCTGATGCTTAGTATGCTCAGTTTGCGAAAGGCTAAAGAAGGGATGAAAGAAATGTGGCTTCAGGGTTCAGGGCTGTGGGCAAAGTAAGTTTGGCTTTGGCCCACGGGGCCAAGTCCGGCAAACGAATCACTCCCAAAACCCTTCTTCAGCAGCCGCGATAAAATCCTGGCTTCTTGTTAAAAGTTAAGAAACTTTATTTCAGTTACCATAAATTACCATAAAAGGGGTTCGATCTATAGTAAGTAGTATGGTTTCCTTATTATGGTAACATATACTTAACTTACGTTCTTTTACAAGAACCCAGTCTCCCGCAGCCGCGATAAAATCGTGTCAACCTTTACAGCCTAACAAGAACTACTGAGCTCAAAGGCCGAATCCTGAATCCTAAGCCCTCATCAAGCCCCAAATCAGCAACCGTGACCGACCCTGCTCATAAATCTTTTTGACAATCAGCAAGTCCTATGCGTTGCAAAAGGCGCCGATAGGAGTTCATCCAAGCCTACAGCCCGAAATCCCAAAATCTGAACCCTGAACCCTGAACTCGAAACCCTAAGCCGAAATCCCGAAAACCCGAAAGCTTTGGAGAGCTAAGGCTTTCAAGGGCCTTGAGCCGCTCGAGCTCCGCTCGGACCTTGCCGGCCAGTTGGGTTTAGAATCTAATAGTACTATACCCCCCTTAGAACCATTATAAAAATAATGTTATTAATATTCTCCTGGGTTCTATATGAACAAAACATGATTCCTAAGGAGACTGTAGAATAGAGGCCTGGGCGCAGGGCTTATAGCGCTTAGAGTCTTGGGCTTAAGTTTTTGAAGGTGTGGGGCAGTGTATGGTTTAAGCTTGAGGTTCAGAGTTTAGGGGTAGACCTGAGCTTGTAAGGCCTAGGGGTTAAGGCCAGGTGTGTGGGGGTAACGTGCAAAGTAAGAGGTCCGCTTGATGTGTCGCTGCCGTTTTACAAAGAAAGGGATCGGGGGCCTGACACTATAAACACAATCGGGAACCTTGAATAAAAGTTTTGCTAATCTTTAGCTCCGAAAATGAAACACTCACCAGATCCTCTTCACTGCCATCTACAGCCCCTCCTGGACCGGGGTTATCCCGTGAATCCCTCCACAAAGACGTCTTCCTGCAGAGGCACCGCACATTGTGCAAGGCAGCATTCAGGGCTTTAGCATCCCAGACCTCCTTTTTCAGGAAGATACCTTAAGCGATGTGCACCCTTTTGCTGATGGAGACAGTATCGGGGCCTTTGTGTACACTGAACTAACATCCTAAACCAGCCGTGCAGTCTACGATCCCTGAAGCCCAAGTCGGCTCAAGCCCTAAGGCCCCAGGACCGCCACACCCTGTACCGGGCTCTTGATGAAGGATTTATAACTTAAGTTACCATAAGAAGGGAACCATATTATTTACCATCAACCCCTGTTATGGTAACTGAGATTACATTCCTGAACAGGAATCCATTGTAACCCCAATCCCTGCGAAGCCCTAACACAACGCTGATAACAGCCACGAAAACAAGCACACTGCAGCCCAAATCACAGAGATACACTCGCAAACACACACAGCCTAAGCCCAATGCCCTGAACTAAATCGTTAGTCCTTAAACACATTCTAAACTCCAACTAAAAAACAACTCCCTCGCTGATTGCCGAAGGCACTTCGGCTCGCCGGGAACGCCGAAGCCCATGGAGTGACATGGGGGCTCAGTGTAGGGCTTGCCTAGGGCTTTTCGCTTCGGTAAGCTGTCATACTGTTGATGGACAAAATCCTGCATGACCCTCAGGACTTTAAACTATGGGAACTATGGTATATTCCTTATAATGGGTAATGCAGGATTTGTATCATCCCTAAACCCTAAACCCCCTATAGACCCCTTAAAGGAATCCCTCAAAGGTACCACCTTCAACAGTACCAATACAGGGAACTCCAGAAAGTTGGAATATGGATTAATGGTAGGATCCCCTATAATTTACCTTAAAGGGGTTACGATAATGATATTCCAACTTTCTGGCTTCTACTGTATGTAGCAACTCCGCAAAGGCAGTGTGACGTTCAAGCGACGGCTTGGGAGGTCGAGGCTTTGGGGAATAGGGTTTACCGGGTTTATGGTTTAGGGTTTAGGGGTTTAGGGGCTTTGCTTTTGAGGCTTTGGCGTTGTGGTCTAGCTAGTAGGGCTTAGGCTGGGCTTCAGGGGTCACGATTGGGGTTGCGAAGGCAATCGAACGCCTTCATGAGCCATTGCAGCAGGGGTGCGGCGAACCCGGTGAACGACCTAAACCTGGAACCCTTATAACCCTTGCATTCCCTGAAGACTACAGAACCCTAAACTTCAAGACTAAAGGCTGAACCGGAAATCCTCCTCGCCCCACAACCCTCATGGTTACCCAAAGGCCCCAAAGTAGTTCCTTTTGGGGTTCGTATATAGAATCCTATAGGGTAATCCCAAAAGGGAACTACTTTGGGGCCTCTGGGTAATGTAGTGTCTCAGGGATCTTATCCTGTCAGACTCCCAACCCAAGTCTCGTCGGTGTTCGTGGAGGATCCGGTAATTTGGTAGGCAGGTTGAAGATGGGTACCCGACTCTGGACGCCTGCAGAATTGGACTGGACCGCCGCGGAGGTGATTCGTTTAGTACGGCCGCTGTAGAGTTACTAGAAAATCTCCAAACCCTAGACACTATAGAACTTGTGAGACCTGTAACTAATCTTTCGGGTATGACACCGAGTTCCTCTTGTGACACAGAGGACGGAAGACACTCTGGAGTTGAGTGCTCTACTCAAGTCGGGTCGCTTGAAGCTCAGTCTTTACAGGTCTATGGTTGCAAACTCCATGGTCTGTGAATGAGGCTGTGAAAGGAACCAAAACCCTGTTTTGAGATAATGCGTACACCGAGCATATGAATGTGGAGGCTACTCGCGATGGAGGCCCTTCTATGAGCTAATTCACTTCCGAAGCCCGGAACGCCTGAACACCTGCACCCGAAACCGTGTCTAAGATCCAGGAAGCTCAAGCCCCAAATCATGGCAAGAGCCGAAAGTCTCAACCCAAAACCCCAAACCCCAAACTTCCGAACCCTGGAAGCCCAAAGCGGGGACACCCTGCCAAACCTATCACCACACCCGGTCTATGCTACTCTAACTATTATTCCTGTTTTCCTTCTTACTAGTGTCGTCATGACTCTGGTTATTACATACATAATATGATATCTGTAATATGTGCATATACATAAATATATATATATATATATGCACATGGGTGGTTGTCAAAATTATGGTCCCTTTATGGGTGCCCTACACATTAGGTGCCGTATGATATTAGTGACCCAAAGAGGGACCCTAATTTTGACAACCACCCATACATATCCATAAATATATATATATATATATATATACCCAGGGGCCCCAAAGTAGTTCCTTTCGGGATTACCCTGTAGGATTCTATATAGGAACCCCAAAAAAGAACTACTTTGGGGCCTTTGGGTATACACATACTGTGTATGTTGCGTGTGTGTCCACCTCGTTGGCCAACTCCTTCTCTAAGTCGAAGTCTGCAGTGGGGTCCTGCTGTCGCTTTAAGGTTTCGGGGTTTCGTTTGTGATTTAGGCTTTAGAGTTTGGTGTTTATGGTTCAGGCTTTAGAGTTTAGGGTTTATGGTTAGGCTTTAGAGTTTAGGGTTTATGGTTTAGGCTTTAAGAGTTTAGGGTTTATGGTTTAGAGGGTTTAGGGTTTATGGTTTAGGCTTTAGCGTTTAGGTTTTAGGTTTAGGCTTTAGAGTTAGGGTTTGTGGTTGAGGGTTGAAGGTTTAGGGTTTATGGTTTTGGGGTGAGGGTTTTAGGGGGTTGGGTGTGGGGTTTAGTGCTCAGGGTTTCGCGGTATAAGTGTCGGGTTTAAAAGCTTGGGGCCATTTAGGGCTTCAGGGTTGTAGGGTTGCCTAAATTTTTTCCAGCAGCCTAAGGAATACATGGGCCTCCACTTTCTGGTAATTACTGTGCAGCTTGATGAGGAACCCAAGGCCCCGAAACAAGGGAAGAGGGCCCACTGCTACAGGACCTGATACAGGGGCCGTAATAATTAGAATGGGGTGTTGGGGCCCATGATACACTTACTACCTATACCGACAATCAGCCGCAAACAAAACCTACGTGCACTACCGCCGACCCTAAACTAAAATACCATACTTTCCTGTAGTGTCGTACAGTAAACTCTTGTAAATACAGTTCTTCGGCCGCTACTGTTTGGCAAGACACCACCCTACGTGATTGGATACCAACATGTTTTTTTTCGAGCATGGGGCTTGCGGCTATACTATGATTCATAAAACAAGTATTCCAACCCGTGCCAGACTCCATTGGCCAAATCCCCTGGTTGGCTGGAACAGGCCTGCCGGTCATCCTCGGACAGAACCGCGGATGCATTGGCAAAGATGTTGCCATTCCTTCATGTCCATGCTTCGGATTCAGACTGCTTCTAGGGATTCTAGGGCCTACGGATGCATGCGGCCAGCATATATCAATCAGTTAACGTTTCGATTGCTGAGCCTGCATCCTGACAGAGTGCAAATCTACTTAACGTCCCTAAGACCATTTACAATCCGCGTAACCCTATCTGAACAATCCAAGTTGCTAAGTCAACAGAAAAACGTCCACGATCTAGTATAGTGGGTTTTGGGCCTTGGGAACGGATTCGAACCCAAGCCAGTACGGAACCTCTTTAGGACCTCTCTGGAAATGCGAGTGACATCCTTGGCAGGGTGCCTCTAAAGGAAGCGTTTCGGATTTGGTGGGGGATGGGCTGCCTAGGGGGTTCAGTTCAGGAAGGCAGGGGCCCTGAACGTCATATGGCTGAGTGTCTCCGGTTGGGTCCTCTGCTGTCTGAAATCCCATTTTAACCTTGTAGGATTCTAGAACCTACCCTTCTGTTAAGTTTACTGATTCTAGAACCTACCTGCTTTGTAGGGGCTTACTGATTCTGGAATTCGAGAATCTACCTTTTTGTGTGGGGGTTACTGGTTCGACTCGTCCGAGAACCTACTTCTTTGCAGGGGTTTAATAAGTCTGGAACCGACCTTGCTGTTGGGAGTTACTGCGCGGCTTGGGTTTTCGGATTCATGGGTCCGGACTATTGGGTTTGGGGTTGCTGAGCATCCTCCGAAAAACCGAGCACAGAATCTAGGGCCCCCAAGGAAGAGAAAGTAAGGTAAGGGCCTTAATATCCAAGGGTAAACGGAGGAACCCTTAATAAGGACCCCTAGGTAATATACCCTTAATATAGCTATTATATACCCATTATATAGATATAGCCCATTATAGGGTAGGGGTCCCCACTAAGGGTCCCTCCTTTTCCCCTTTGATAATCATTCGAATAGTGCTCCTCTTTAGGCTTCCTTTAAAGGGTCCTATAAGGTTACTTTCAGGGGTACCATGGGGCGTTAACATCAGGTAAGGGCCTGAATATTTGGACCTGGGTTTGGAGAATGTTGTACATACATCTATATTGAGGGGAACGCAGAAGGGGGCAACGGTCTGTCAGGCAAAGGTTGACCCTTCGACGAAGTTCGTTTTTTCAAAAACCCTTCGGCGAACTTCTGCGAACGTTTTGGGGGTTCGTGAGGGGTTCGTGGGTTGTTCGGTTACAAGATAAAGTTCTGATATGTTGTTAAAATTCCCAAGTATATTAAAAGCTTCAATAAGAATTTACGACACTACACCCCGGATAGTCTGTGAAGTTTATATGTCAGCGAGATGAAATGATGATGATTTGCCACGCCTTTTTCTCTGCATCTTGCAGGGATTTCCTGCGAATGTCTTTCCAAAAATACGGAGTTTCTTGCGTTACTCTGGCTCATTAGCAAAAATTCTTGCCAGGGCCCGACAGTCGTTCAGTGCAGGTCCAGGAAGTGCAGAATCCTGGCGGGCGGGAGTGTAAAATCACAAATGAGGTGCGTCAAAAGGCTTGTTGCTCTGGCAACCCGTTTTCTCTCTTGCGACTTCTGCGGCCAGTGACTAAGGCAGCGTTTTATCGCAAACGGCCCGGCAAGGCGGTTGATCGCCAAAACTTGCCAGGTTCAGCGGCCGAGGACTCGATTAAAATTTCTTGCCTTCAGAAACAGCGGCAGCGGAATTCGGCAGAGTCAGGCCGGGGCGCTCTTGAAATACTTCCCTGCTCTCTGACCTACAGTCTCGGAAGACTCAGAAGCAGGGGTAACCCGAGAACACAAAAGCATGTGACACCAACTTTCAGCGATGCATTTTTTATGTTAAAAATAATAATGCTTCTTCTGTGTTCTTGCCCCTGAAACAATCTCAGTCAAGCTTACTTTGGCGATCCTCGCCCTCCTGATGCTGGCGACTTGATCGAGCTGACGGGCGATCCGGCGAGGGTCTTCGGACTCTTGCTAGGCGACGACTTGGAATTGATCTTGCGCTTCGGCGTCCGCGGGGGAGTGTTCTTGCCGTTCCCAGCTGCCGGTTGAAGCGCAGTCTCCGATTTCGCCTGCCACGATTTCGTCTTCTTGCCATCACCAGAACCGGCTTCGGGGGAGGAACCCGTCGGGCACTCCTTCAGAAAGAACGGGCTCTCGGGCAAGGTCTTGCCCTCGTTGATGTCGGAATTCAGGATCTTGCACACCGAGATGTCCACCAACCCAGCACCTGACGGAATTGCTATGCAACGAACAACTGAGTTGGAAGAAGTGGTTT